TAAAATTCTATGCATGAAGGTAAAAAAAAACCTTCTGTGTTCAGCAGCACCCCCGAGCCCCCCTAATACTTACGTGAGCACCATCCTGATCCAGTGATGTGCACGAGAGTCTCAGCCAATGAGGAGGAAGAGTCCCTAGAGAGCCGAGACAGCAGTTGGGGAAATTGGCTCCTACCAATCACAGCCAGTGAGTTAAAGCGGAGTTCCAATTGAATGTAAAAAAAAAAAAAAAAAACTGTAGCCGCTGACTTTTAAAATACAGACACTTACCTGTCCCTCGGTCCAGTGGTGATCTCACCACGGCTGGTTTCACTGGTCACCTTTTCTCCCCGGCACCAGCATCTTCAGTGTGGGCACCCGGCTGTGACAGCTTGCGGCTGGAGGACAACTTCCGCTTCCTTAGGTGATCGCACCAGAATTGAGAGCGGGTACTTGTCAAATCCAGGTACCCGCTCCCCAAAGGTGCCAATGCTTAACAGGGAGCAAGCAGGGGACAAAGACTTAAAAAGCGGAACTTCTCCTTTTGGGTGGTGCTCCACTTGAATGTGGAGAGAGGGGGGGCAGGGGCCCAGCCACAGCTCTGTGTGTGAATGGACACGTAGAGCATTGTCTCAGAAGCAAGCCCTGCTTGGGTGCCCCCAGAGCAAACCGCTTGCTATGGGGGCAGTAGGCAGGAGGGAGGGGCCAGGAGTGCCAGCAGGGGACTGGAGAAGAGGAAGAGCAGGGCTGCTCTGTACAAAACCAATACACAGAGCAGGTAAGTATAACATAAAAATATGCAGCGCTGCATATTTTTATTTTTTATTATTTACATTGTGAGGGTTTGGGTTTGAACCTTTATGCTAGCTGCTCATTATTCCTCTCCAAGCGCTCGTCATTTTTTACTGTTTTGACCAGGTAAGTATAACATGTTTGTTTGTTTTTGCCTATAATATTACTATAACACTTTTGCTGCCATAACTGTTCACAGGATTTAAAAAAAAGACTAAACAAAGATTAGGTAAACCCCCCAAAACATTATATATTTTCTGAAAGCAAATAGCGCAACAGTTTATAAAAAAAACAAAATTTCAAGAAAAAAATAATGCACTAAAGCTTATTTTAGGGCACATAAATCGCAATATTACCTCGTTTTTGGAAAAATATTTAAAAAAAATGAGATTGCGACGATTAACTAGATATCCAACATGTAAAGCCTTAAAATTGCATACACCTGTGAAATGATGACAAACATGGGTACCCTATATTTACGTTTTTAAAAAAAACCCTGGAGGTCATCATTTTAGAGCTAACCCAGAATGATGGGCCTAACATTACTGATCTAACTCTGTCATGCGCAGTGATATGCAACACATGTAGCGCAATAGTTTTTGTGCATAGGTGACCTGGACTTGTGCGTTTACATTCATATCTGCGTGTATATGGGGTGCAGGCCCCAAAAACATTTAGGAGGTATGTGGAGTCGACAGAATGACCCCACAATTGGCTAGTCAGATTTACTTGGCTATGTCCAGCGATGGCAGTAAGAGTTGAACCTCTGGCACCCCAGCCATGGGACTGTAGGATGAATGTATAGTTTATTGCAGTTATATGATGTACAGTGGCGTCTATGTGCCTGGGATGGCCAATGTGGTCATTTGTACATATATGTATTGCTTATACTATGGAAGATTTTGCACCTCCATTTAAAAGCTATTTAGGTGCGCTAGCTTTAATATTTTTTACTTTAAAGTGTGTTGTGGGACCCTTCAGCAAGTCCCTATATTTATAGAGAGTTAAGGCAAGGAAAACTGATTTTTTAACAGTACCCTAGACAACAGTATGCATTTAACCCTTGCAGTGCAGCAGATGCCCCACCAAAAAGGGTAGTTTTTAAATTTTTCTTCAGCTTTAAGATAAGATTCAGTCCAGTTAGGTGGAATAACAACTGAAAAATTTACAGATCACATATCCAGAATCCTCATAACTGCCTTGAAAATGATACTGCTGGGTATAAGATGGTTAAACACGTTGGTACCTTAGCGTGAGCTTCTTGTTCCCGCACAAAGCTGTCTACAGACAGCCGGAGTTTGGCGATCCGCGTGTCCCAGGTGTCCTTAACAAGCGTCCTGATTTCATCAGCTTTTGGGATGTTGTCTGAGGCGCTGCAAAAAAAAAAAAAAAAATCTTCGGGGTATTATCAGACAGTATATTTGTATTAATTATTGGGATGTTCACCTAAGAGTAAAATTAGTTAAGTCTGTCAATTTTTTACCTGCCCCATTTCACATGTTTAGAGGCATTTTGTGTTCAAGTCAGCAGGTGACAACTCTCACTGATATCTGTGTTATCAGACAGAACAATCACCACCCCCACTGAACTGCTGCAAGAAGTCCATCGCATATAATTTGTAGGTGGAGCCAACGAAAGATTTTTTTAATACATTACATCTCTGTCCATAGATTTCTACTGAGCTACTAAAGAACAAAATAAATACAGTTAGGTCCATATATATTTGGACACGGGCACGATTTTAGTTTTTTTTCAGGTATTTACCAAAACATATTCAAGCTATAGTTCTAGAATGGATATGGACTGAAAGTGCACTCAGGTTTAATTTTAGGGTATGTACATCCAAATTGGCGGAAGGGTTTAGGAATTACAGCTGTTAAGAGTAGCCACCCTCCCTTTTTCAAGGGACCAAAAGTAATTGGACAAATTAATCAAAAGCGGTTTCATGGCCAGGTATGGGCTACTCCTTCGTTATTTCATCAATTAAGCAGGTAAAAGGTCTGGAGTTGATTCTAAGTGTGGTATCTGCATTTGGAATCTATTGCTGTGAACCTACATCATGTGTTCAAAGGAGCTGCCCATGCAATGGAAACAGGCCATTGTAAGGCTTCAAAAACTAAACAAATCCATCAGAGAGATAGCAGCAACATCATGAGCGGCCAAATCAACAGTTTGGTACATTCTGAGGAAAGAAGAACGCACTGGTGAGCTCAGCAACATAAAAAGACATGGACGTCCGCAGAAGACAACAATGGTGGATGATCGCAGGATCCTCTACATCAGCGGTTCTCAACCTGGGGGTCGAACGACACTTTCCCAGGGGTCGCCTAAGACCATCGGAAAACACATATTTCCGATGGCCTTAGGAACCGAGACACCGCTCCTTGATCCGTCTGCAGGTGTGGGCGGGATGACATCCCTGTCATCTGGACACACCCCCGGGATCAATCCTTCCTCGTCGGTGATTGGCCGCCGGAACTGTAGCTCAAGAGAGGCACACAGGCGGCCAATCACCGGCGAGGAGGTGGAGCTTGGAAAGGAGGAGCCGAGCGGCACCACGAAGCCCGAGCGAGTGAAGAGGAGGAAAGCGGCCGGAGAAGGAAGCCATCTGACCGGTAAGTGTTTGTATAATGGGAGAGGGAGGGAGCGAGCGAGCCCAGGCTGGAGCAGGGGTCAGCAAGGTAAGTATCATTGGTGTCAGTGGGAGGAATAGTGCCCAATCATTGGTGTCACTATTACCAACGATGGGGCACTATTCCCCCCCCACTGACACCAACGATGGGGCACTATTCCTCCCCCACTGACACCAACGATGGGGCACCCTCCCACTGACACCAACGATGGGGCACTATTCCCTCTGATGCCAACGATGGGGCACTATTCCCCCACTGACGCCAACGTTGGGGCACTATTCCTCCCACTGACGCCAACGATGGGGGCACTATTCCTCCCCCCACTGACGCCAACGATGGGGCACTATTCCCCCCCACTGACGCCAACGATGGGGCACTATTCCTCCCCCCACTGACACCAACGATGGGGCACTATTCCTCCCCCCACTGACACCAACGATGGGGCACTATTCCTCCCCCCCACTGACACCAACGATGGGGCACTATTCCTCCCCCACTGACACCAACGATGGGGCACTATTCCTCCCCCCACTGACACCAACGATGGGGCACTATTCCTCCCACTGACGCCAACGTTGGGGCACTATTCCTCCCCCACTGACGCCAACGATGGGGCACTATTCCTCCCCCCACTGACGCCAACGATGGGGCACTATTCCTCCCCCCACTGACGCCAACGATGGGGCACTATTCCTCCCCCCACTGACACCAACGATGGGGCACTATTCCTCCCCCCACTGACACCAACGATGGGGCACTATTCCTCCCCCCACTGACACCAACGATGGGGCACTATTCTCCCCCCCCCACTGACGCCAACGATGGGGCACTATTCCTCCCCCCACTGACACCAACGATGGGGCACTATTCCTCCCCCCACTGACACCAACGATGGGGCACTATTCCTCCCCCCACTGACACCAACGATGGGGCACTATTCCTCCCCCCACTGACACCAACGATGGGGCCACTGACACCAACGATGGGGCACTATTCCTCCCCCCTGACACCAACGATGACGCCAACGATGGGGCACTATTCCTCCCCCCACTGACACCAACGATGGGGCACTATTCCTCCCCCCACTGACGCCAACGATGGGGCACTATTCCTCCCCCCACTGACGCCAACGATGGGGCACTATTCCTCCCCCCACTGACACCAACGATGGGGCACTATTCCTCCCCCCACTGACACCAACGATGGGGCACTATTCCTCCCCCCACTGACGCCAACGATGGGGCACTATTCCTCCCCCCACTGACACCAACGATGGGGCACTATTCCTCCCCCCACTGACACCAACGATGGGGCACTATTCCTCCCCCCACTGACACCAACGATGGGGCACTATTCCTCCCCCCACTGACACCAACGATGGGGCACTATTCCTCCCCCCCACTGACACCAACGATGGGGCACTATTCCTCCCCCCACTGACACCAACGATGGGGCACTATTCCTCCCCCCACTGACACCAACGATGGGGCACTATTCCTCCCCCCACTGACGCCAACGATGGGGCACTATTCCTCCCCCCACTGACGCCAACGATGGGGCACTATTCCTCCCCCCACTGACGCCAACGATGGGGCACTATTCCTCCCCCCACTGACACCAACGATGGGGCACTATTCCTCCCCCCTGACTGACACCAACGATGGGGCACTATTCCTCCCCCCACTGACACCAACGATGGGGCACTATTCAACGATGGGGCACTATTCCTCCCCCCACTGACACCAACGATGGGGCACTATTCCTCCCCCCACTGACACCAACGATGGGGCACTATTCCTCCCCCCACTGACGCCAACGATGGGGCACTATTCCTCCCCCCACTGACACCAACGATGGGGCACTATTCCTCCCCCCACTGACACCAACGATGGGGCACTATTCCTCCCCCCACTGACACCAACGATGGGGCACTATTCCTCCCCCCACTGACGCCAACGATGGGGCACTATTCCTCCCCCCACTGACACCAACGATGGGGCACTATTCCTCCCCCCACTGACACCAACGATGGGGCACTATTCCTCCCCCCACTGACACCAACGATGGGGCACTATTCCTCCCCCCACTGACACCAACGATGGGGCACTATTCCTCCCCCCACTGACACCCAACGATGGGGCACTATTCCTCCCCCCACTGACACCAACGATGGGGCACTATTCCTCCCCCCACTGACACCAACGATGGGGCACTATTCCTCCCCCCACTGACACCAACGATGGGGCACTATTCCTCCCCCCACTGACACCAACGATGGGGCACTATTCCTCCCCCACTGACAGCCAACGATGGGGCACTATTCCTCCCCCCACTGACACCAACGATGGGGCACTATTCCTCCCCCCACTGACACCAACGATGGGGCACTATTCCTCCCCCCACTGACACCAACGATGGGGCACTATTCCTCCCCCACTGACACCAACGATGGGGCACTATTCCTCCCCCCACTGACACCAACGATGGGGCACTATTCCTCCCACTTCCTATTCCTCCCACTGACACCAACGATGGGGCACTATTCCTCCCACTGACACCAACGATGGGGCACTATTCCTCCCACTGACACCAACGATGGGGCAATTCCTCCCACTGACACCAATGATGGGGCACTATTCCTACCACTGGCACCAATGATGGGGCACTATTCCTACCACTGACACCAATGATGGGGGCACTATTCCTCCCACTGATACCAATGATGGGGGCACTATTCCTACCACTGACACCAATGATAGGGCACTATTCCTCCCACTGACACCAATGATGGGGCACTATTCCTCCCACTGACACCAATGATGGGGCACTATTCCTCCCACTGATATCAATGATGGGACACTATTCCTCCCACTGACACCAATGACGGGGCACTATTCCTCCCACTGATACCAATGACGGGGCACTATTCCTCCCACTGACACCAATGATGAGGCACTATTCCTCCCACTGCAGAATTACAGTTATGAAGTAGCAACGAAAATAATTTTATGGTTGGGGGTCCACAACATGAGGAACTGTATTAAGGGGGTCGCGGCATTAGAAAGGTTGAGAACCACTGCTCTACATGGTAAAGAAAACCCATCCACAACATCCAGACATGTGAAGGACACTCTCCAGGAGCTGAGCGTATCATTGTCAGTCTACAATCAAGAGAAGACTTCACGAGAGCAAATACAGAGGGTTCACCACAGGGTGCAAACCATTCATAAGCCTGAAGAATAGAAAAGCCAGATTACACTTTGCCAAAAAACATCTAAAAAAGCCAGACCAGTTCTGGAAAAGCATTCTTTGGATGGATGAAACTAAAATTAATCTGTACCAGAATTACAGGAAATGTGGAGAGGCTTGGAACAGCTCATGATCCAAAGCACACAACGTCAGCTGTAAAACATGGTGGAGGCAGCGTGATGGCATGGGCATGCATGGCTTCCAGTGGCACTGGGTCATTGGTGTTTATTGATGATGTGACAGAAGCAGCCGGAAGAATTCTGCAGTGTTTACAGATATACATTCAGCCACATGCAGCAAAGTTGATTGGACGGCGCTTCACAGTACAGATGGACAATGATTCAAAACACACTGCAAAAGCAACCCAGGAGCTTTTGAAGGAAAAGAAGTGGAATATTCTGCAATGGCCGAGTCAATCACCTGATCTCAACCCAATTCAGCATGCATTTCACTTACTGAAGGCAAAACTAAAGGCAGAAAGACCCACAAACAAAGACCAACTGAAGACAGCTGCAGTTAGAGCCTGGTAAAGCATCAGAAAGGAGGAAACTCAGCCTTTGGTAATGTCCATGGCTTCCAGACTTCAGGCAGTCATTGCCAGTAAAGGATTCTGGACAAAATATTAAAAATGAACATTTTATTTATGATTATATTCATTTGTCCAATTACATTTGAGCCCCTGAAAATGGAGGGACTATGTATAAAAATGGTTGCAGCTCCTAAACTTTGTACTTGATATTCATGTTCAACCCCTTGAATTAAAGCTGAAAGTCTGCACTTTAAATTCATTCGGATTGTTTTGTTTTAATTTATTCTGGTGACATACAGAGCCAAAAAGTATGAGAATTGTGCCCCTGTCCAATATATATATATATATATATATATATATATATATATATATATATTTTTTTTTTTTTATTATATTTATATGGACAACACCCACCCAACATGCTAATTAAATTCCTAAATAAAACCTTTTCAGTCTATTAAACCTTTTATTCTTACCATAATGTACCTCTGTGATTCTCTATGAAATGCAGGAAGACCAAAAGGTGGTGGGAGGGGCTGGCAAGGTGCTGTACACAACTTCCTGAAAGCACCACAGCTCAGCCTCTAATCATCAAGCACAGCCCTGATACAAGCAGTGGGATGGCTCTTAAAGGGAGTTATGCAAATATGAAAATGCTGCATTGGGCTGGTATCAGTCTGGAGAAGCTCGGACTTTTGGCTAAGATCAAGTGTAGTATCTGTTCTTATCAGTGTCCAGTAGGGGCGCTCCACCGTCATTCTAGCTTTGCGGGGATGACTGGTTGTATAGTACCCCTGCTGGAATGATGGGGGTCCTGACAGCTAGTACCGGCTGGACAGAAACCGAGGCGCCCACAGGCTGTTGGGGCCCGGGAGTAATTCCCTCGGGAAGACCGGAGGGGCCCAGTTCCTCCTGATTTGAGCGAATCTACCTTGTCTGGCCAGGGGCCGGGAAGGCAGAAAGTCTGCAAACCAGTGCCCCGAGTGGTCACCTCAGGGTGCTCTTAGTAACACCTGGGTGTGGGACCCCAACGTGTGAAAAGGCACATGGTCACTGTGCACAAACACTTTTTCTGCACAGCGCCCTCAGGACCGGGCCTTCTGGCTAAGTTCGGGGCAATTTTTGCTACAGGCCTCAGGGCCTGGTCTGTGCACAATTGGCACGACCACTTTTTATTTAATTTATTATTTCTCCCACGTTTGTCACTTTACTCTTATGCGTGTGTTTTATTTCCTCACAGGATGGAGGGTGTGGGTCCTCGGGCCTACCCTGAAGTCTAGGGGGAGGATGTGTGGCCTTTTGGTTCCTTCCTCCCCTGTCCCTAGGGGGTTTTCTCTTCGGGAGAACCCCCTGGCTAAGTACTGAGTGGTTGGCTGCAAGGAACGGTGGTCCGCCAGGCCTTTTCGCTAGGTGGACTAAATGGGAACCTTGTCCCTGTCAAGAGCTTTGTGCCCCGGGGGATCAGGGTAGAGGTCCATCCCCTTCAGGGGAAGGACAAAGCACACCCCTAAGTGCACTTTTTTGTGAACACTTACGGGTTTTTTCGTTTTTCGTTTCGCACGTTCGCAGACTTAAAAAAAAACAAAAAAACAAGTCTGGAGAAGTGGGCATTCTTGGACCGGCTGTATTTGCATAAAGACTGCTCCACATGTGCCTTGATGGATGGATGTCAGTCTGGAGGAGTGGGTGTTCCCAGGCCAACTGTATCTACATAGGCAACACCCAGCCTCCATGACTGGAAACTGAAATCCAAAAAAGGAAAGGGGTCTGCCAGGGACAGTCAGGCTGCTTTTGGTTCTACTTTAAATAAAACAGCGTTAGTTTGTATTACATACTTTAAGATATTACTGGGTCTCTGTGTTTCTCGTGCAGTGTAGGCAGATTATGGTTTGTAGGAGGGGTTAAACCTCTCAAGAGCCCTCAGCCCTGATACAAGCAATGGGAGGAGTTAAATGAATATAAAAAAATGCCTTCATGTGTAGGTGTCAGTGGAACGGGTGTTCCTTGGCAGGCTGTATTTGCTAGGTAATTACCAAATTTGATGCTGAGCCTCCAGGACTGAAAAAACTGATGCACAATGAATGAAAAGGGCAGGCCAGGGACAGTCAGGCTGAGGAGGAAAGAGCTGGATAATACTGGAAGTCTTCCAGCCAGGAAATGAGGTGGGCTCTGACTTGTTGCAGCTTCTAATGCACATTGTGAGAAGCTCACAGTGTGCAGTGAAATCAGAGTAAGCCATTTCAGTCCAGGAGAGGAGCCGGTACAAACTGTGCAGGACTGGAGGGGAGGAGCCGGTACAACTGTGCAGGACTGGAGGGGAGGAGCCGGTACAACTGTGCAGGACTGGAGGGGACCGGTACAACTGTGCAGGACTGGAGGGGAGGAGCCGGTACAACTGTGCAGGACTGGAGGAAATGGTTTAGGCAGAACAAAAGTGGGGGCTGGACCACATTAAGAGCTTTGGGCAGACAGGCTCTGCAGGGGGTATGCAATGGGGAAGTGGTGTTTTATTAAAACCAGAACGGAGCTTTACAATGTGCTGGGGTGATAAAAAGCATGGGAGATTTTTTTCTTTTAAAAGTTCAGAAAGATGAACAAACCCTTTAACTCAATGCAAGACTGCTGTTTAACTCCCCTCCCCCCCCCCCCCCCCCCCAACCATGAGTCTGCTTTACTATCCCTCTGAGATAACTGTAATTACACATAAAATGTCCCCTTCAGTGCTCTCTATAGTGACTTACTGGTTCAGCAGTAGTTTAGTGAGCTCCATGTAATGTGGGTTTGGCATGGGGGTGAAGGTCTCCTCCCGACGTTCCGTGTCCCTGATGTGCTCCAGCTTTTCTAAAAAATGGAGACAGTTAAAAATGAATGAATGGCTGATGGATGCTGTGGAAACCCTCACCCCCCCCCCCCCCTCATTGTCATGCCACCGACTATTTACTGATTTTTCACCTACATTGTTTCAATTCATTTCCTTCGAGCCCTGATGAAGGGAGTGGAATAGAGCCACAGAAACTTGTTGGTTTTGCAAAAAATTTATTTTTGGAAAAAACTGGTATCGGGACTTGGATATCACAGGGTGGCCCTTCAATTTCAGTCTCATTTATTTACAAAATGATGCACAAAGTAAAGACAAGCTAACTAGAGAAATGAAATATAAAGTATGAAAATAGATTGCTGTCCACTTCAATTGGAGATCTAGCTGTAGCAAACTTGCTCAGAGTTGGACGCGGAGTTCCCCTTTTTCTTTTCTTTTAGTGGAGTATTCCTCAGCCTTCATTCCCTACCCCCTCCCTTCCTGAGAGGCAAACGTTATCTCCTGACAGATGGGGGGGGGTCAACCACAGGTTAGGCATCCCTAGTTGGTGCCAGCAGTCTGGGAAAGTGTAACCTTTCTCACCCATCATAAAAACTGACCAGCAGTAATTGAACATTCCTCAGGTCAACTGTATGTTTCATATCATGGAGTATGAAGCTGTTAGTTTAATTCAGAGTTCCCCACTGACTCCTCCCAAAACAGCGTAGTCAGAGCAACCCCGCTTTCATAGGGATTTTAAAAGAGAGACAGGCTAGCAAGCCTGCAAGTTGAAGTTTTACACACATCTCCTCAGCTGAACATCGTAACAAAAGGAGATCAAAGAATCATCCTGCTCTGCAACTTGGATCTGCAAACCAAGGCATATTGGCAAGTAACTTAACCCTGTAACTTTCTTCCTATTATCTCTTTGCTGTATCTAAATATACACACATATATATATATATATATATATATATATATATATATATATATATATATATATATATATATATATATATATATATAGTTACATTTTCTTTGTAAATATTGTATTGCACCTGTTTGACTCTTTTAGTAATAAATCTTTCTTTCTGAAAGTGTTAAACTGTTTCTAAGCGCTTACTTGCAATTCACGAATTCCTGCCTTTGAAGAGACGCTACTGTGTTTGTTTAATCCTCTGCCCAATC